GGTCAGGACAGTCGATCTTACCATATCGGATGGTGACTTGAACAACGCACCATAGGAATTTCAATAGTAATTTTTTAATTTCTGATTATTGACTTCCCTAATTATTTTAGAGATAAAGTCTATTTAAATTCCTATGGTGCGTCCATCAAGTCACCACCCCCTATATCTAAACCTTACCAATTATATACTTATACGTTAACTGGTGCTGCTCTATGATAATAATAATAATAATCCTTTATTTGCTCAACAGAAAGACATAACCTTTCCAATTTCAGAGCAAAATCAACATTTTACAACTTGCCAGAGTAGAATAGAGTTAAAAATAAATATGTCTAGTAATATTGATGATAGTACTTAAACTACCGAAACCAATAACAAAAAACAGTCAAACAAACAAAGAGAAAAAGAAAAAATTATCTATCGGCCCTCTTGAATAATTACTAAGTGCGACTAATAATACTAAAAGTTTAATTAATCATAATTGATTATAGGAAAAATAATGTGCTATTAAAATTAATTACTGTTAATGTTAATAACCGAGCGTAACATTTCCGGTAAAGAACTGTAATGAAGATCACAATTTTGTGAAATTAAATTAAAATGATAAGAGATAATAAATAATGGATTTTTGCGCAACAAATTAGATTTAGGAGTGGGGTTTGTAAAGGTACTAGCATTTCTATTAATGCGCACCGGAACGGTGAAGTTTAGGCCAGTTAATAAGTGCGGACAATCAATTAAATTATGGATTAAGCCAAACAAAAATTTTATACTATTTATTTCTCTGCGACATTTCAGTGACAATACGTCAAATCTAGAAATTAATTGTATCTTTCATGGTATTCTTCTAATTAAAGGTCTCAACGAAAGGAACCGTTTTCTACCAGCTACTGCTCTTCTTTCTGTTCTCTTATAAAAAGAATGGAGGGGGGGGGGGGGGAACGGGATTTATTACTAATTTTTGTTGGAAAAAATGCGCTTCATCTGCACAATTTATACTTGTTATATTGTAAGTTAGTTCCAGAACGAGTACGTACTATATTGATGAAGTTTTTTAAGTTACTTTTTACAAACACTATTTCATAGATATACAAACCAGGAAATGTGTGAATATGGTTTGTGATAAATATTGGACGACATGACTCGCGATAATCCAGTTCAAATATAATGCGAACCAAAAACACGACTCGTTGAAAAAGTTCTTCAGAAAATAAACACCTTAACGAGAATACAAACATGAAATAATTTTGAATTTCTGAACATATAAAAAATTCTTGCTTAAAATACTAATCTAAATAATTTTTAACATCAATCATCAAAAACAAAAAGAGTACATAATTCTTATCAACGGAACATAGAACAAAAAGCAGTGAAAGTATATTCCTGTCTATTGATTTTTAAGATCTTTAATTGAGCATATGGTGAACTCTTCCGCTCCGTCGTTTGCCACTTGTGTATTGATTTTTATGTCTTGATAATTGTCGAAGGACCACTCCGATTAAGGAGAATAATATGCAAATTTGATGAACTAAATGAACTGTATTGAATTTACTGACGGTACGTTATGACATTTATTTTTATATTCAAAAACAAACTCTAATAATGAAAACTACATTAAAGTAGTTAGAGCGCGTTCGGCTGAAGTCAAGCGATGTACTCGGCTTACGTATTACTTACGGCAAAAGTCTCCAAAAAAATGTTTTTATGAAGGAAACATAATTAGAAATACGATATGAGTGGTATTTTGTACCTCAGCACAATGCAAACGTTATACGTGATTTTTAAAAAGGTATATACAGTAGTCAACTTGACTAGTCTCCCTAGTTTTCGGCCCTGTTTCAAACCTTTGGACACTAAACTTTTGCCGACACACCGCGACTAAATATTCACAGTGTAAGCGGTAAATCCTAAACGAATATATTTATTTTTAATCAAAACGTATGCGAGACGTATGTAAATGTCGGGAAACTAAATAATTTGGCGTTTTACGTGAAGTCGGTGTAGTGGATTTGGTTTTTCGATGTTGGCGTCAGAGATCCCCAGCCGCTATCTTGATCTCGAGCGGATCAGTGTGTCAACAAGACGGTTGCGTGTCTTTATAATTATCGCTGGTTTTGGTGTTCTTTCGAAAGCCACCATGCCTTTTGTGAAGAAAAGTGCGCAGCAGAAGAAGGAGAAGATTGTCCTAGCTCAGTTACTGCGGCACGCCCAGCGTCGCGAGGAAGAGGCCCGGTCAAAGATACGCGTTGAGCAGGAGCAACAGGAACAGGACCCAGGAGCGTCTGTTTGCCTAGGCCGCCGTATTGTAAAACCTCTACTTCTTGGCGAGTCTCTGTGGTGTAATCTGTGCGACCAAGCACTTAGCTTACGTTTTCTTGAAAAGGAGGAACGGCACGGTCTGGCCTCCATCTTTCATGTAAGATGCCACAACTGTTTGGATCTGCACCAGATCAGCACAGACTCGAAAGTCCCTTCTCCCCACGACCTTGGCCATTCGCTGTACGCCGTAAACTTGAAAGCTGCTGCCGGTAAGTTTGCTTGCTACCAAGCTATGGATTTTATAATTGTTATCTCTTTCGCGCAGGGAGAAATTCCTTTTTTTGTAGGTTGGTCTAACCCTATCTTGGTTGCTTTACAGGACTGTGGTTTGGGTGTTGAAGTACTGAACAAGTTCTTCTCTGTGCTGAATCTGCCTCCAGTATATCGATCTACTATAATCCGAGCCCAGGACCGAGTTGGGCCAGTCCTAGCAGAAGTGGTCAAAGAGTCCTGCAGAGAAGCTATTCTGGTTGAGAAAAACATGGCCATGGACATATCCCAGTCACGAAGGTATGCAAATTCCCTTTTGGTTTTCGTCGCCTATGTTTGTTCTGGTTTTTCCAACAGGGAACTAACTTGTTTTCTCCCTGCTTGTCCAGGGTCAGCAGAGGACTGGTTTGATTGTGTTGTATATTTGAAGAATATTTTCATTATCTAATCTATTTGTGTACATTCCAGGACTTTCAGCGAAAATGATAAGGATGCAATGGAGATTAGCCCAGTTCACTCCGAACCTGATGACCCTGCTCCTCAAAATGAGACTACTGATGTAAATTCGACTCCACGCAGAGTCAGGTATGCATTATTATTCGCAAAATCTTCTCTTCAGATCCAATTATTGTATGCACAATTTCTTCTAATATGTTTTTTTAATATCTTCAGCCTCAATGATGCTGTCAGTATTGGTGTCAAGTTTGACATGGGATGGGATAAGAGAGGCAATGGCCGTTCTTACAACAGCCACAGTGGTCGCGGATCGATGATAGGCCTTCACTCAAACAAGAATCTTGGCTATGATGTTGTCAGTAATTCTTGCCGAAAGTGTGCTCTTGGTGCCAAGGAAGGTGATCACAAGTGTGCCAGAAATTATGAAGGTAGTGCCAAGGGCATGGAGCCGCATTCTGCTGTAAAGCTGATAGCACACAACCCAGACCTGAAAGACAGTGGCGTAGCTGGGGGGGTGCGAAAGGGGCGGCCGCCCCGGGCATCACATTAATTGGGGCATCATAATGTGATGCTCAAAACTATAAAAAGAGTAGCCAATGATGCCCCCGGAGGCCGGAATTGCCCGGGGAATGATTATTTTTTTCAAAAAATAATCAGGGCTGAATTTAAAAGCCGCATGCAGTCGCACTAATCGCAGGCGCAGGCCGGCAGGCGATTGAGTCGGCCCCGTGCAACGTTTTGAGTCACTCACCCCACTATTACCGACTTACCGACGCGACGTTCATACGAAACTAACGAATTAACAATTAACGAAACGATACGTTCATCGAAGAGAACGAATCCGCAACAAATAAATTGCTAATTGCACTCTGTCTGTCACACAAGTTTTCGAAATCGTCCACATCAGCTATAATTAACAGTTTGTGTTTGTGGTTACTACGGGAGATTGAAGATTTCGTCGATCATTATTCAGCTTAGTGCTTAGAAGGAAAATAAAAAATCTAACGGAGGAACGTCGTCGTCGTGCCACATGCAAAGAAATCAGGTAAGTGTTTGTTTTTTCGTTGATTTGAAATTGAAGAACAAGAAGAAACATGCATGCAGAATTTTGAATGACAATGTTTAAAGTGGCGTATATTCATATTCATAATAAAATGAATCCTAAAATATTTTCACGATAAGTCACATCGTTCACTTGTTTTCTTGTTAGTAATTATTGAAGTTTGAATTTCCAAACCACGCGTTAAAACGCCGACTCGCTTTTAAATCGTCTGTATTTTGGAAAGGAATTTTTCTTTTGTTTTAAATATTCAAAAACATTATAGTGGGTATTTGTTCTTAATATTCAGCACAAAATATTTCGAAAATTCGAATTAAAAATCTATGCAAGACCCCTATTAATAATTTGAATTTGCACTTTCTAAAATATTCTGATCCCTCCGTTATTGCGCTATAAATTACTTTATTCTGATTCTGATACTGATTGGTCGCTTCAAGGCCCAATGTAATATGTACGATATTTTGCATGTGTAAATGATTGTTGTTGAATTGAATCAATGTGCTATTTTCAGATGAAGCGACAACAACCGAGTGGTGCACAAAATCGTGCGAAGAAGAGAGCTAGTGAAAAAGAAGCAAAGAAACAGGAAGGATCTATGTTAAAGTTCTTAAATCTGAATCAACCCACTAGTAGTTCAAACGCTGCCACTACAAGAGAGACTGAAACTGAGAGCGAAATTTCTGGTACTGAAGATGCTGTTGAATCCGGTTCTGATCATTCTGAAGAACTGATTGCCGAAAGAGATGTCCCTGAATTTCATCAAGTAAATCCTGAAAACGTTGCTGAAACAGCCAACTCGTCTGACAGTTCAATAGGAGAACAAGGTACTCCTGGTGACCCGAGTATCGACGCTCAGGGTTCCCAACCCACTGATGAGCGAAGCGAACATGACTTGATGGATATTGGCAAATGGCCTTTGCGCATTTCGGACAACTTTCGTATGCAAGCAGTCGTCATGGGTTCGAAACGAATTCAGTACATGGATCACTCATTCCAAGAAACTGAAACAGTTTATAAGGATGGTGAAACTGGTGAAAGACGGAAGCTGACTAAAACTTGGTTCTTCAAGAAGATGCCAAATGGGGAGAAAGTACCCAGGGAATGGTTGTGTTATTCTCCATCCAAGAAATCCGTATACTGTTTCTGCTGTCGGCTTTTCCCTGGGCTTTCATCCCTGGAAACTGCTTTTGCATCTAAAAGTGGATTCAGCGACTGGAAGAAACTTTCCCCACGTGTACCCAACCATGAATTGAACCCTGCTCATCAACAATCTCTCGTTCTGTGGAAACAACTGGAGCTGCGTCACCGAACTGGGACGACAATCGACAGAATTGCCGAAGAAGAGATTCAGAAAGAGAAAGAAAAATGGCGTAATATTCTTACTCGAGTACTTGACATCATACGGTTTTTGTCGAAACAAAACTTGGCCTTCCGAGGCCACCGAGAAACCGATACTCCTGATGTAGCGACGAATAAGGGAAATTTTATAGAACTGGTGAGATTGCTGTCGAAGTACGATCCAGTTCTCAGAGAACATATGCTGAAGATTGATTTGAAAGCGGAGCGCACAAGTTACATGTCGCCGCAAATACAAAACGAGTTAATTGGTTTACTGGGGGATCATGTGAGGAGCCGTATATTACAGCGAGTGAAAAATGCCAAGTATTTTTCAATAATTTTTGACAGTACGCCAGACATTTCTCGATTGGATCAGACTTCCCAAGTACTTCGCTACGTTGTTGTGGAAGGTGACCATGTGAGCGTTGAGGAGTCTTTTATTGAATTTATCGACACGAAAGACAAACATGCTGCTGATATCGCTTCTATGATTCTGGAGAAGCTCAAATCGGATGGACTGGATATAATGAACTGCAGGGGTCAAGGCTACGATAATGCAGCGGTTATGAAAGGCCAACATTCGGGGGTACAAAAAAGAATCAGCGATGTCAATCCTAAAGCGCAATTTATTGCCTGTTCGAACCACAGCTTGAACTTGGCAGGAATACATGCCGCTCAAGCCGAAGTTAATTCCGTCACGTTTTTCGGCACGCTGGATCGTCTGCATTCTTTTTTCTCTTTATCAACTCATCGCTGGGATGTGCTTTCAACAACTACTGGGACCAGTTTGAAACGATTAGTTGACACTCGTTGGAGTTCTCGTGGCGAGGCAGTCAAGATGGTCAAAAACAACTTCGAGAAGATATTGGAGTCTTTGGAGATTCTAACTGGAATAAACGAGAATGCAGATACAAGGGCTACAGCTGGAGGTTTGTTGGTATCTCTTCAATCGTTCACTTTTCTGACATACCTGGGGTTTTGGGAGCCAGTACTAGCGGAAGTGAACGACGCTCAGAACTACATGCAGCAACGGGGTTTGAGTTTGCGTGACTGCGCGTCCAAAATGAAAGCATTGAGTGACTTTCTCGATTCCGCCAGAGAAAACGTTGCAGATACCTCTCTGAGCTTCGCTGAATCATTGTGTACTAAACTAGGAATCACAACGGAACCTCAGCGTCGAATTCGTCAGAAGAAAAAAATGCCTGGAGAAGAGGCTTCTGATTCTGGTTTGTCCTACAAAAACGAACTTCGAAGGGAAATCTGCGCGTCAGTTGATAGGATCAAACAAGAAATAGCAACTCGCTTCGAACAACTTCAGGATGTAGCTCAGAAGTTCGAGTTTCTCTCTCCAGCAATATTACTTGACGAAGATCTCAGCATCGATCTCTCCAACGCTCCTGACGATATTGACCGAACTGAATTCGTGATCGAGAGAAAGCGATTACAGACTTTCGTAACGGCATCAAATGAGAAAGAGAGTTTGAAACATCTTGGACCTCTTGAACTTCTGACATTCATTCATCAGCATCGATTGTCCGACTCCGTTCCGAACATCAATATCATGCTTCGTATATTTTTAACCATGGGAGTCAGTGTAGCTACGTGCGAGCGAAGTTTCTCGAAACTGAAACTTATCAAGAATTACCTTCGGTCTACCATGTCAAATTTGAGATTGAATAGTCTTGCTATAATGTCTATTGAACATGAGCTGGTCGATAAAATTAATTTCGATACTATCATTGACGACTTCGCTAGTCGTAAAGCTCGCAGAGTGCAATTGTGATCGGAATTGTGTCTTGTTATACATTATCAAATTGACAAATTACAGTTTTAGACTAATAAAGTTGTTTACATTCGAACTTTGTTGTTTTTCGCGAACTTGGGGGCATCAAATTAGCTGTCCGCCCCGGGCAGTAAATTCCCTAGCTACGCCACTGCTGAAAGAACCTGGGGTTGTGGTTGGCCAGTTCATCGGAGACAGAGACTCCTCCACCATAGCAGCGCTTCTCAGAGAGTGTTCTACACCCATTGAGAAAGTGGTCGACTTGAACCATAACATGTCTGGTTTCAACAATGCTCTCTACAAGTTGAAGACAACACATAAGTGGCTACAAACTTCTCACATTGCCCATCTGAAGAGACAACTTGGATATGCCATAAAACAGAACAAAGGCGATGTCGAAGGCGTTCGTGCTGCCATCATGAACATTGAGAATCACAGCTTCGGAGAGCATGAAGAATGCAGTGACCGGTGCAAAGCCAAAGAAGACCCTGACAACTATGTTTACAAGGGTCTTCCGAGGCAGAAGAAATTCAGTGAGACTGATCAACCTGGATGGCGTGCTGCTCTTCATGTTCTTCTGTCTGGACAAGCAGCGATGGCCCACACACTGGCTCCTTGTGGTTCAACTCAACAAAATGAGAGTTTTAATCACATGTGTGTTACTCGTGCTCCCAAATCAAGACACTATTGTGGCACGGAAGCAAACTTTTTCCGTGTCTCAGCTGCTGTGTGTGAGAAGAACTTGGGATCGACGTACGCTGAGGCTGTCTTCCAGAAAGCAACATTGTCGCCCTCTGTATTCAGAACTAGAGAGAAACTTCAACACCGTAAAATGGTCAAAGCTCTTTCCCAAGCCAGGCCTGACATCAAGGCAAGACGTCTCCATAACAAAATGAAGAATAGTTGGAAAGCAACAAACAATAATGAAGGCCTGACATACGAGAGTGGCATGGGCAATGTTATGGAACGTGCTTCTGCAGCGGTTTCTGTCGGCAGTGCCTGGTTGCCTGATGCTCTCCAACCGACTGAAAGTTGTGTCCCAGTCATCATCGATTTGGAAACAACTGGTTTTCAAGCTGCTGATGAAATTGTTCAAATTGCCGTCAAGTGTGGAAGCATGGAGAAGTCCTGGTATATGATCCCCAAAAAGAACTTTCATGTGAAAGCAGCAGAGGTGACTGGTCTCAAAATGACAGCCGGGAAGCTTTATCACCATGGCGTCTGTGTTTCCACAACTCCTCCGAAAGAAATTGTGAACCAGCTGTTACATTTTCTGCAGCAGTGTGGCGACTCTGTCTTCTTGGTTGGGCACAATATCATCCGCTTTGATGCCCCAAGATTAATAAAGTTTCTCAAAGAGCACGGTGAAGTAAAAGCTTTTGCTGAGTGTGTTGCCGGGTTTTCTGATACAATGCCTCTCTTGAAGCAAGGCAAAGTGTGCAAGCAGTCAGCATTAGCGGAAACCTACCTCACTGGTCCATACTGGGAGGAGTTGCATAAGTCAGCTCACAATGCTGTTACTGACTGCTCCGTGCTCGATAGACTTCTGAATCAGTCATCCATCAAAGTATCTCCAACCCGTGTCCGAGAAAATATGGTGACCTTCAGAGACTTCTTGAAGCGTCAAGCTGAACTCAAAAGGAGAAAAGCTATTATGCCTTCTCTTGAGGCTCTTTTTTCTGTCGGAGTCAGCAAGGCTATGGTTGGAAAAATGGCTGCAGCAGGTGTCACCATAGAAGAGCTGAAGAGGGAGTACGACGCTAACAAAGTGCAGGGGCTAACTGTCTGCCTTGGAGTCCAAGTAGACGGCAAACCTCGCGTCACAACACAGAAAAAGACAATAGAAAAACTGGAGCTCTTCTTCAGTGGTAAATAGTGGTAATAATTCTATGAGTACAACTACCCATCCCAACTAACTATATATCTAATTATTTCTTGTTTTTGTCTTCTCAAGGTGCAGCTTCAAAACAGTGACTGAATACCATATTGACAACATTTCAATGAAGATATTTTCACTTGACATACCAACACTATGTTGGTGAATGATATCTTACCAAAGCTGCGCTACAATACAGCTCCAATTATTATTACAAATTGTTTCCTAGTCAATTACGGTGCCTATTCCATGTAAGTAAACTTTTATCATGAAAAGAAACATTATTTTATGGCTCTAGTAACTATACAATAAATTATTTATAATAATAATATGAATGCTGTTTAACAACCTTACCACTGCATTTCAAAGCTTCGGGAATGATATCCAGATCTACTACTACTAATAATAATCTCTAGATTTCCGATGTGTGTGTGAGGGTGTGTGTGAGGGTGTGTGAGGGTGTGTGTGTGTGTGTGTGAAATTTTTAAATATTTTTTTTAGGACCCTACATAACTTCACCAGACGCAGACACTAATCGTTACTTGATTTTAATCCGTGCGATTAGTTAACCAGGCTGGACCTGAGTTCTCACAAGAAACAACGACCATAATAATAATAATAATAAACGTCATTATAGGCAGATCAATGAGACAGGCTGGTCTTGCGGTCAATTTGGAACCTTCAAATATGCGTGGCCTGTCAAAATAGCCCCGTCAAAATGGCCCCGTCTAAATAGCCCCGTCAAAATGGCCCGCACACAAAACAGCCCCGTCATAATCGCCCCGTCTAAATAGCCCACATAGAAACAATACTGGTTCAATTTATTCCTTAGTACGCACTTTCCTTAAGACGGCAAAATAAACCTTAATAAAAGAAAACAAATTTTATTGTGAAAAAAAGTATACAAAATTCAAATACAAAGTACAATACAAAAATTTCCTGTACGCACAAAATATCCTAGAACCACTAAATAAAACCCAAAACCGAAAACCAATGAATAATCGCAAAACTTAATTCACCATGATGTTATATCTCCATATTATGTGAAATTCCTCTGAGGTAATCCATAACAGCGGTATTGTCGTAATTGTCGGTCAGTACCTCCAGTCTTCGATTTAGCTGCACGTACTTCCGTTTTGACGATTCCGGATGTTGAATACCAGCGGTTATGCGGGTGTGTAGTATTTCAACATGATCCTGTTCTTTCTTAAATTGATTAGTTAACAAACATAAATATGCGATTAGGGTCTTCTGCACCTGAATCCCATAAAAGGAAATTCGCATTTCTGGAAGTAGTTTGCAAAGCTGCAGGGATTGTAATATCAGCAACGGCTGTTGGATTGGGATATGGCTGCTCTGCACGGTTTCTAACCCGTTCAATTGCTCTTTGGGATGCGGTATACGTCGTCAAATGAACTGATGCCCCTAGCGCTAACCCATTGCTGCAGTGTTGTATGATCTGCCGAGGGTTTTCTACACAGTTTGCTGCTCTCACTTTCATTTCTGCAACACATTTAACCGCCGCCATGTTCTTTTCTGGATTTGGAGCATGGTTATGTTCTGTGATAACATTAATCACGTCGCCTCTGGACACTTTTAATCGTCCACTGCAGTTTAGAGTAACACATCTCCACGATATGCTGCCATCTGCATTCGTTCGAGCTTGTCGATACCGCTGCCCATCTATCAACAATAACTCCTTTCCTTTCTGTGACACTATTTTCTCCATTATACTCTTTGATTATACAAAAAACTGGCAACCGTGACACAGACAACACTAAATTGATTTATTTAACAATTTATCAGCCCTTTATATAGATTTCAAACTCATTAGGGGCTAGTCGATTATTTAATTACACCCATCCAATGCTTAAGGAATTTAGAAATTTTTGGCCTTGAGAACTATGTACCTACTCGCAATTAAGTCACCGTAGTAAACTAACATTAATGGGCACAATTTGATAATTGGCAATGCATTCCATTATGATTTGCAATTGTACCAAGTTAATGATCAGTTAATTAATCACCAGAAAATGTATTAGGTACCACTTTGATTAGAAAAGTAAAAATAATAATTAACATATTTTTATAAAGCTACTTTATAAATAGATATAATATAGTATAATAAATCCGTATGGATAAAACAACTTAAATCCCAACGGAATGTCTCCAAGTGGCTCGCCACTGGACTAATACATAGTATCTAGGCGAAGTCCTGCACTACTTATAGTTATAGGAATAACATTTATGGAGGCTATTATGACGGGGCTATTTTGGCAAGGCCATTCTGGCCGGGCTGTTATGACGGGGTACCTCAAATATGATACACAATGACAGAAGGCGTCCAGATGAGAGAACATTGCAACCATGAACGCAAGGAACTTGGGATGTTACTATAAGAGATACTTTCGCTCATGGATATCGACGACTAGCACTAGCGGGAGTTGGAGCGATAATACGCAAAGCAGGGTCAGATAAGAAAACCAAATATCACACACTTTTAGAAAACAAACATTTCTTCACTATTGGATTGGAGTCAAGTGGTGTGTGCAGTGTGGGGACAGGAAGCACTGACCCTCACCAAACAATTAGGACAAATAATACAAGAGACCATTGGAGACCCAAGATCTACCACCTTCTTACGCCAGAAGATCGCTCTCGAAGTGCAAAGAGGGAATGCAGAAATGATATTACGAAATATACATGACAGTAATCACGTATAAAATAAAATATTGTAATAATTAGAATAACTTGATAATATTTAATAAAGACATAATAATAATAATAATAAGCGACGTACAGACACAGACACTAATCGTTACTTTCCTTCCTTCCCCTACCTTCCAATTACAGGACATTTAACACAGATAATATAGAGGCGATACAAGTAAATAGGAAAGTGCATTTTATTCTTCTATCCTCTAAACTACTAACATGAAATAGGTTTAGTAAAGTTTCATGACAAAACCCTCTAGGAGAATAATGACCTTCAGTTTTATAATATAAGAATTTTAAGAATCTCCTCTGAACATGCTCGATCAAATCAATATTAGTGGAAAAGTCATCAGATTTGAACGCCTGCTGCATAGCGCGCCGCCAGAGCAGACGCCGCGCCGGCGGTAAATATCTTCTTTATTTCATCATGAATATGTACCTTTCCGTGCATATTTAGATTCGTCACAAAATTTCGCTTCGAATGAGACCCATCTCATTTAAGTCTTGATACAAACACCTTCGCTAGTACAAAAAAACCGTGTCTGTCCATAAGAGCCCATGTTAAAATACCCTGTCTTTACTGTCAAATATCTCAGAAACGGCACATAGGATCTCTTTTTTATTTTGACCATTGGAAAGTGCGTCTCTCAGAGAATAAGTGACCAAATTTTCATCAACTTCTTGTTACTTTTACCTAGGCGCTCTAACTACTTTAAATTAGTGCAAATTGCACAACTTGCACCATTTGAAAATGACAGTGCGAGCCATCAAGTTTAGCAAAAAGTTTCTATGATCTTGGCACTCATCCTCGCTATTAAACTGCGAGAAATGTTCATTAATTTCCTCTACAACTTTGTGGTAGATATGCAGCCCCAATTTCCGCCTCTCAGGTCTGGATTTTAAACACCTAATAATGATTTTTATAGATACCTCTACAACTCTATTAAAGAATTTCGTAGGCGCCCTTAATCCAATTGAACTCTCGAACTTATTATCGTAAGTTTTTCGTAAAAGAAATAACTGCTTCGTATCATTTAAGTCAATAGTGTCTAAAAGCAATAGTTCACTACAAATTGCACAACCGAACTTGTCCACACACGTTTTTCCTAAATAACCAGCAAAGTACACTGTGGCGCAATCTTCGAGGGTAACTTCTTCGACGTTACTTGATGGTGATGATACAGCAGACGACGACGAAGACGGAGAAGAACACGCTTCATCTACATCAGAAACAGCTGTATTTCTTAACGCTGTTGGGTTACATGGTTGTTCACAAGTTAAGTTTTCGCTTAGCATTTCGTCTCTACCTATCTTCCACGTAGCTAGATGTGTCAGGGGGTTGCATTAAATTTGCGAGAGTTATTATTCTATAACTAGTTCGGACTCTTGATGAAGGATTTCTGTTGAAACCCCCTCGTTGTCTAATGCAAGAACAGAAATTTTGTAAAACGTCTTGGTTTAACCTAGACGTTAATAAATATTCTTCTTCATTAGATATTTCATCTGAAAACAAGGAAATAACGAAATTTATATTTAAACAGAATGCCAATTATTAATTATTCAATTTGTTTCAGCTAGACAACCACCTATCTTGTTTTTTTAGGATCTATCGATTTGCGTAGCCGATTTTGTTACGTCAGATGTGTATGAGAGGAATCTGGAAGACAAAGAAAATACAGAAAATGTTAATATGGAACATTCAGACCCAGACGATGATGTGCCTCTTTTGAAAATTAAATTTCGTTCTACAAAAAATACACAAGAATGTACAAAACAAATAACTAAATGTTCTACTATTTTGAATACTTCCTTACCTAGCACTTCATCGTGCAGTGCAGCCACACCCTCTACATCCCAAAATATAGTTGCCCATCAACCTCCTGATACTTCTGATCTTTCTCCAAAATCAACACCTTTGGTTCACTCGGATACCGATGTTCCTGAGCAACCTACTACTCCTCCTGAACAAGTCAGTACAATGGGGGCGGAGAATCATTATAAATCTCCTTGGGAACTCAAACCAATTCCAAAATACAATAGACCTGAATCGTCTAAACCAAGAAAGCGGCAGAAGGCAACAGTAATAACATCCACTCCCATTAAAAACATGCTGGAAGAGAAGGAACAAGAGGCCGAAAAAAAAGAGGAAAATAGAAGAAAAAGAAAAGAAAAAGTTATTAATGCAAGAATCAATTTGTCGAACAAGTCCAGTAACAGGAAACAGAAGGAGGACGTTTTTTGCCCTGGTTGCTCAGAGTTGTTTACAGACCCTCCTTTAGAAGATT